CAAAAGTAACCCAGTAAAATTCCACATAGATTGCATTTTTTATTTTTTATATGATATGAATTTCGCATACTGGGGACACAAGAAGTAGTATCCTCTATCCCCACACGGCTATTACATGCTTTGGGGCAGTCTCAAGTCTATCATTTACACTCTTATTTCTAAAACACTAGACAACAGCCTTATGCATTCCTTTCTAGCAATGCACATTAAAATTCTAGAGTAGTGACATTAGTGAGTGCAAGAAATTTATTTAGCTATACCTGTGGATGAATCTTCAAATATCAATTAGAAATCATTCGTACCACGGTGCATTAATTTTATATAGGATTTGCAGGGAATGAACCATACTCCTAATTCCTATATAAGTATATAGGCCCCTTCATATTTTATTCCCTAATAAAAGTCATTTTGTCTTAAGTAACAGAAATTATTTGGAGTTATGTAGTTCTATTAAATAAAACACAGCAATATCATCACTAATTATTTTCCACGATTCAACTCATCTCCTTGTCTTCACGATTTGCGGTCTCTTACCTCTTCTCATCCATGTTGTGATATCACAATCTCCTCCATTAGGTGACTTTGTGATTCAAAAGGCAAGCCTCTCCGCTCCGATGTGATGGGTGACATCTCCAACATTTCCATCATTTTGAATAATTGGGCGGTTGGGCCATGTTATCCAAAATTGTTCCTCTTAACTACAACTTGGGAATCAATATTCACCTCCACCCACTTTGGACTCACGATGCATGCCATTGGAGCTCCATTCCATGTAATATATCTTCCTTCTCCTCAACCTGAAGGCTGAAACCTTAATACTCCCAGCATGACTCCAAACCTCTTTCCTATCATTAAGTTCCTCATATTATCTATTATAACCCAATATCACCAATTAACCCAAACCTCTACAAATCATAGTTTGTAAGGCGTTGCCTAGGCAATAAGGCGATGTCACTGGGACGCCTTGTTTGCTCGCCTCGTGTAACATAAAATTTATAAACTAGTTGTATAATTCTAGTTAGTGTGATACAGTAATTGGGAAAGGGATGAAGACTCAAAACTCCCTTGCCAGCACAATCCCACTAGCCACGAAACAAGTCATGCCTAACGAAATTAAATATACATATAGTCATGCATATCTGGCTATCACAGATTCACAGTTTGTCTTTGCCTCAGCTATAATTGTGGACATATTACATGTCAACTGGGAAAATTTTTCCAATGTTCATCACAAGTGGAGTTCTTATCCTAATACATTTAGTTAAAGACTCACACACAGTTTAAATAAAGAGTCATACTCAGTGTTACAAAAATTCATACTCCCTCCGTCCCTAAGTATTTTTCTACTTTTGACTTATTCCGGTCAAAACTAGCAAACTTTAACCCCAAATTAAATAAAAGTGGTATTAGATATTGATACAAAAGTAACTTCATTAAATTTATTTTATAAAATATTTTCAAAATATTATTTTATCAAATTAATATACAATATATATTTTATTTAAATATAGGTCAAAGGCTAAAAATAATTGACTGCAAAAAGTCAAATTGGACAAAATTCTCAAGGACGGAGGTAGTATGTTTTTTTATAACTTAAACATAAAGAAGTATGAAAACATACTCTCTATGAGATCCTTTTTTTTTTTTTACCAAAAACTGAAATTCCCAACCCCAAGCATGAAAAATGAAACTGGATTTCATTTCAAGTTACTGATCAAGAACAGTCCCCATGTGCAAAGCCGAGCCTCACAATGTGGTAATACTGCAGGAAAACAATATCTGAATGCAATTATAAATTGAAACTCACAATCTGGGTAAAATATTGCCGGCATGCTGGACAAGCTCATACAACTCGACAATGGAGCACCCTCTAGTCGTCTCCTCTCTGAAGAAAATCTCAAGCTTTCTCAATTCATCAAAAGCTCTCATATCTAAACCAAGCTCAAATCTATCAGAATTTCAATGTTCAGAATAGAAAATTTATAATTAATCCCGAACTTATTCCAACAGAAATACGGAGAAAGTTCAAATCAGATCAGTGAGCATACACAGTTCGTAGTATTTGTGCGGCGATAGTCTAGAAGTTCGAAGCTCCGAGAGCATCTGAGCAGAATACTTCAATGCATCCTTAAGATTGTTCGAGTCCTGGAAGAAAATCAATCAGAGAATGTCGCAGAAAGCGTCAATTGTAGATAAAGATATCAGTTGGTAAGCAATTTGGGTTGGGGAAGTACGAGAGCGCGATGCATGTAGAAAGCGTTCTGTTGAAGGCCGGTGATCCCGGCGGCGAGCCATTTTTCCTCGTCTTCGACTCCGCCGGTGATCATCGTACAGCTGCCCTTCTTCTCCACAATGATGAATTAGGATTTTGCTCCTCTTAAGAGTCTTAACTTTGTTTTTTACTTTGGCAGAGTCTGCCATTACCGGTCGACGGGTCGGGCCAGTTTCTTTTTCGGGATCCATTTCAGGTGAGTACAAAAAAAAAAGTGAATTTCTTACCATCTCAAAATGTTTAAATTAGTTCTTCGATCTAATTTCACGTCAATTTTTTTAGTATGAGTTAGCATGTATTACTGCCTTCCATTTCCTTGATATGATCTGGTCTGATCTGATTTGATTGTAGTTATAATTAAAAATATTTCTGATCTGATCTAATATGACCTGATCAGAGCTGATTTGATTGTAGATATAATTAAAGATATTTCAGATTTAATCTATTCTAATTTGATCTACTTATAATAAGAATAAGTAATAAGCAAAAAATATAAGTTGAATGAAACGCTGCGTATGTCAAGTCCATAGTTTCATGTCATCTATAGTAAACTTAGATGTTATGACTAAAAAAATTGAGACAATAAATAAGAAACAAGAGAGAAGATGAGAAGGCAGTGTCATTAGTCGAGAGAGTCACGTCCAAGCCCAATAGCAAGAACCAAGACAGAAGAAAAATCCATGCGTGAGAGGCAAGTCCCAACAAAGAATAAAACCTCGCAATTGTAAATGTGATCCATTCCCCATGATAAAGCCGAGAATAAACCTCATCCAAGAAGTAGCCAAATAAAATGTGATCAAAGAAAGAAGAGGGGAAGACAGTGTCATTAGTCACTATGGCGAACCATAACAACCTCTCGCTTGGCCCAACAAAGAGAAAAGAGGTATCACTCTTGTCCAGTGGCCAACCCTTAGTCAAGATACCGCTGACAGCCAGTAGACACCCTAAACCACATATTCTGATGAAGACGTACCCCAAAATCGTATGGACAGACGGGTACTCTCTCCCGCAAGTAATTACGAGTGCTAATATCCACATGCGCAAGTACCAATGCACCCTAAAAACCGTAGGAGCAGACGAGCACCCTCTAACCACAGGTGCATAGGTGCGCCTCTGAATCGCAGACGCGGCCGTTAAGGCACCCAAATCAATGCATCTAGGAAATACCCTCATCTTCATCAATATGGAAAGAGGGCAGATCATCCGTAGAAAGGAGGGATAGTACCCGAACATCAAGATCATGCAAAGTCAAAAATCCATCTGTTCCCTCTGTCCCTGCAACAACCTAGGTAGCTAAATCACATGCAGGAGCATTCGCCCGTAAATCACAGTCAACCCACATGTCTTTCAGTGTAAAATAAAGGAAATGCGGCCTAGAACACACATCATGAAGGTACCACGGGGTACCCTTGCAAAAAAATAGCATCAAAGTCAGAGTGGCGTGACTCCACTTGGACATGCAAGAAGGAATGTGATATGCACCAAAGAAGACACCCTAACCGTCTTCGTCCCCCCCCCCCCCACGCGCCACTATGTCCCACCGAGAAGAAAGAGAAGTAATGGCATAGAGCAATTTACGTGACGAATCATGGACAAATGCCGCAAATGCTCCCCCATGCACTTCCCGTGCAAGGTTTTCTTTCATGGTACCGACCGGAGCTGGAGACCACCGAACGGCTACTGCCTTCCTACGCCTGGAACACTCCTGAATATATTCCATGATCATGTGTCAGCGTAGAGGTAAAAATCGTCCACCCAACTACCAGGGATAAATGCTTTCCATGAGCTCCTTCACCACCCGAAATGTGATGCGTAAAAAGTTAGGTGGAATGAAAATTGTGTTGACTTTCCCTTTATGCCCCTCATCTTTTCTACCCCTGTACACCCCACTGGAGCCATCTACCCCTGTACACCACTGACGCCGACACTTCTGCACCGCCGTTGCCGCCGCTTCTGCACCGCTGCCTCCGCCGCTTCTGCACCGCTGCCTCCGCCGCTTCTGCACCGCCGTCGATGATGCTTTCGCATCCCCGCCGTCGAAAGCTCCGGGCATCGCAGCGCCCAGCCGTCGCAGCCCCTAGCATCCCTCTCGCTGTCACAACTTGCTTCTCTCGCCGTCACAAGCCCCCGCCTTCACAGATCTATTTTTAGACTTCTTGTTAGGGAAGAAAATCAACATCCCACCATAGATCTGGAAAAAAAATAAAAAAAAATTGTTCCTCTAAATCTAGATCCGACGAAGATGCAACCAGATCTGAAAAAAATTTCTTCTTTTAATTGACGAAAGAAGAAGGAAGAAAAACAGGAAAAAAATGAAGAAATAAGAAGAAGAAGACGGAAGGATAAAGAAGAAGAAGAAGATGAAGAAGAAGAAGAAGAAAACAAGAAAAGAAGAAGAAGAAGAAAACAAGAAGACGGAATTGAGAGGAAGAAAAGAAAGAAAAAGAAGGAAAGAGGAGGAAGAGTGGGGAGGGTGGCTGACGAGGTGGGAAGGAAGAAAAGAGGAAAAAGAAAAAGAAATGTAATGGACGAGGGTAGTTTTGTCTTTTAACCCTGTAAAACTTACTAAAAAAGGAAATGAGAACTTAATTGTGGACGGACCGAAAAGGAAAGTGGGAACTTTAATTTTGGACGGAGGGAGTATAACATATCAAATGAAGATGCAGTCGATGCCTTTCTCTCCTAATGTTCTTCTTTTAGGTTCTAGGAGTCTTAGGATTGCCCAACAGCCCCACACTTTTAAATGATTCAAGTAAAGAGCCTTGCCATACCAAAGTTCATATGGGGTACACTACAAGAATTAGCCTAAACTACGACAGGAATCTGCAACGGATGTTATTCCGTCGCAAATCTGCGACGGGAAAAGCGACGAAACATGTTCATAAATTATTTGGTCAAATCTGTGACGGAATTATAAGAGTCTGTCGCAGATCTGCAACGGAAACAAAAAAGTCCGTCGCAGATTGGAGACACACCATCCAATGCACTTCTTTAATCCATTTTATCTTGTAATTTGTATATTAAAAAATAATAAAAATTATATATTAATAATTTATATGTTAAGACGAATCAAACAAGATCACACATGACTATTTTTAGGCTTACACATTGAGAGAATTTGATGAGTCAAAGCGCTTAGATGAACAGTTCCAAAAGTCAAAACTGGACAAAGACAATGAGACGGAGGTAGTATATTTTTAAAATAAAAAAATCCAACCTTATCTTGTTTCAGATCCACAAAAAACCCAAATCACCAGAAGCCCTTCCCGTTCCCTGCGTCAAAACTCCACCAGACCATAGACCTGACGTGCATCCCATCCTAGTTCCTAATCTCCACATCTTCCCGTCCACCCGCATCCGCTGGCCAGAGATGCAGCCACACCGCCAGCACTAGACACCAACAGGAAGAAACCCTAGGACGAACAACAACCCTTAGACGGTTCACTAGTGAATCGTCGCCTCTCGCTGTCCTCCCTCCTCCATTAACCGTCGGGCGCACTGTATCTCCAACCCTCGTCGCTGCCCTCTGAAATCGATCCTTTGCCTACCAGCCGCTGCCTCTTTGCCGGTCATATTCAAGGTTTATTTTGTTTTCAATTTTTTTTCTTTTTCAATTTGATTGATGATTTTAGCTTCAATTATTATGATTTATTATCAATTGGCTGAAATAATGCAACTTCGTAGAAATTTCCTTGTCAATTAAACATTTTTTCTTGTTTTAACATGTCAATTATTGCACATTATTGTCATGTAGTTGAGATGGTGTTATTTATTTACAATTTTATTTTCAATTATTCTATTTATTTCTTTCAATATATTTTTTGTTCTATTGATTTTTTGGGATAAAATGTTCTAACTTGATTAATTAGAGCCCTTGTTGCTTGTTTTTGTTCTTGTAGATAGTAGACAAAAATCCACTCCCTTCTCTATGAGCAGCAATGTCTTTCACTTGGCCTTAATCACCAAATATCTAAATACTTTGGGTAATTTGTACTTAAGCTTTAAGAATGTGTTTAAGCTTTAATTTGTTCATTAACAATAGTTTTAATGTGTTTCCTCTGGCTAGTTTGGGTTTTAATCTTTGGTGCTGTTTTTATTTCAATGGCTCTAATTTTCATTTTACTCTTTGTATTGGTTTTAATTTTATTCCCTCTTGCAAGTCAAGTAACTTTTTTTCATTATTTCTCATCACATCTAAATTTTATTGTCTATAGGGAAAAATACATCCCCGAATCTCATCACTAATATTTATGATCAAAGGTGTGTTCTCTTTATCAAGTTCTAACTATTATTGACCTCATTATTCAATTCATTGCATGTGCTTATATTTTTTTCAAACAGGGAATCATTTTATGGATGGTGAGCATTCTTTTTTCTTACTCTTAATGTTATTATATTGTATCCCCTTTAATTCTCTTTTTGGTGGTAATGTTTTTTTTGTTATGTTCTTTTTTCAGTCATTGGGATGAGATAATTTTGGATTTGAGTCATGCATAAGGCCAATTGGTGTTCAATCTATTGAAGTCTACAATAATTGAATTGTCAACAAAAGACAACAAGCCATAAGAGTATAAGTTATCCGGTGGATATTAAAAACTTGAAAGTTAGAAATAAGAGATTACATAATAACGTATTTATAGTCTTGAATAAAGTCTCTCCATTACTATATTATAAGAGAGTAAGAAGTTGCATGTATTTCAAGTATCTTCATTACATTTAAACATAATTGTTATGTTTTTTGAGATGTATATGTAATAAAAATATTTATAGTATACTTGTGTAATGATTATATGATGCTCTATTTAATTTCTCAATAGCTTGTGTATGTTAAACTGTAGATTGGTCATGTGTTTTCACTAAGAAATAAGTGATGTAAGGAAATAGTATTTTTTTTATTTTTGAGAAATCTGCAACGGACTTTTATATCCCGTCGCAGATCTGCAATGGATTTATATTCCGTCGCAGATTTTGTCCATCCAACTTGCCCACATGCTTGTGTTCTTCGTGTCTGGGCATTATTGTGGCAATAATCGATTTTACCTGTGGAATTAATTGATTATCGCGTCCAGAAAGAACTAATTGATTAACATCTTTGGCTTTAATCGACTATCACTTTTCTGCGCAGAAGGATTTTAGATCTGGTGAAATTAATCGATTTTTTCACTTGCATTAATCGATTATGGTGATGCACTAATCGATTATGATGGTGCATTAATCGATTTTAGATCTGGTGAAATTAATCGATTTTTTCACTTGCATTAGTCGATTATGGTGATGCACTAGTCGATTATGATGGTGCATTACTCGATTTTTATAGTGCATCTTTTCTGCACAGCTTCTTTTCTTGGACCAACGGATATATTTCTTCACCTCCTATTTAAACACCCGTCCTTGGTCATTTTTAAGAATAAGAAACACTCCAATACTCCCCATTCTTGAGGTTATAATCCTCCATTCAATTCTTCCTCAAATTGATATATTTTGAGAGAACTAAGTGTTTTCAAGAGAGTGTTTTGTCATCCATTAGAGCTTTAATCATTTCTCATTTCCACTCTTTTGAGACTTTATGTTGAGAGGTTGAAGAAGATTGTTCTTCTTCTAGCACAAGACTTATGTGACTTAAGTCTTGATTGTGAAGTCTTGTAGAGGGCATATCTACGAGCGGTTTTGTCGAGGCTTGTGGGATTCAAGTTCTCGAGTTGTAAACGGTTTGTTAAGCACCCGTAAACTTAACGAAAGTAGTGGTAGCTTTGAGAGAGTCTCTCGGGGAACTGGACTAGCCACGAGGTGGTGAACCAGTATACATCGATGTGTTCTTTGCCTTCTCTCTTTTATTTCCGCTGCACTTACGTTTATATTATTAATCCTACGAAAATCGGTAATCATTCTCAACAACTCTATTCACCCCCCCCCTAGAGTTGCACGCCTTGTGTAACAGAACCGACAATCTTCTGAGTCTTGACACCTTCAAGACTTCAGATGGAATCCTCAATCCTAAGATGACTACTGAGTTGCACTAAAGTCATCTCTGCCTTGTTTATGATGTTTGACACCAAAGTCATCTCTGCCTTTCAAGGTGCGCCTACATTCTTTCCACTAAAGCAGCAACTTGTCTATGATGTTTGACACCGAGATGGACTCTTCTTGGTGCAAGTTATGCTGGGCAAATTGTCCTAAGATCCTTAACAACTCATTGTATTGTTACATGACCGGTTGTGAGTCGACCATCTTGTAATTGTTAAAATTACGAACAAGGAACTTCTTGCTAAAAGCATCCTCGACCATATATTTCTCTTCAAGACCATCCTAAAGCAATTTTCCAGATTCAACATTTTGGTAAATATCAAAGAGAGAATCAGACATACCATTGAGGATATGAACACGACAAATGTAGTCATCATTCTCCCATTTGCATCATCTCCTAGTTTGTTCTAGCGTTTCTTCTTCCATGATCTCAAACATAGGTGTGCTCAACACATATACAACCTTCAACATGGTGAGAAGGAAGTGCATCTTCTTTTGCCAATGACGAAAGTCCTGACCTTTGAACTTTTCTAGTTTCGAGAACTTACTTATAGATCTCTCACAGTTTTACTCATCTTTATGTTGTTTATGGAGTATTACTTTAGTCTTTGTTGGAGGATTGGTAAAGGTATGTGCAACGAGAGAGCTACTTGATAGGCAAATCGTGAAAGAATCACTTTCAGACTAAAGTTATTTTGGCAAACCAAGATACTTTAATCAGGTAAGACGTAAACGTTAAAGAACGAGTATGCTTTCTAGAAGAAGATTGTAGTCACGGAGACTTGTTGTACCGAAATAGGCTATAAACATGGCTATTTTTAGGCAAAACATTGATCGGTTCTGTCTTTTGAACTAAAAAAGTATCTGTTCAGTACCTTTTCGAATAGCATACTTCCTATTCAAATATGAGACCATTTTTGAAGGATCAAACGTATCTCTACAGTGACCAATTCGAATAGGTCAGCGTATTAAGTCCTGACCTATTGCAATATGCAAACACCTATTCCAATATGTCAGGATATAAGCTTCCGACCTGTTCTAATAGGTAAAGACCTATTTGAATAGGTCCTCACAGTTCACACTAACCTATTTGAATAGGCAAATGCCTATTTGAATAGGTCAACCATTTTGTTCCGAATAGTAATATAATTAAACGAGCATGTACTCTACATCTCTTAACTCGTATGAATAGTTATTATTATTTAATGTTCGGTCACTATGTAAATCTAGTTACCCAAAATAGTTAGATGACAATAAAATCAAAACAGAATGTCTTATAAGATAGTTAATATGGAATGGAGGAGGTACACAACAATACAAAATTTACCAAGAATAATTTAAAACACTTTACATATACATCTTAAAAGAAGTTCTTATTGTCCGGAGATGCATATATGGACACATGAAGAGGTTCAAAGGTAAAGACCTTGAGGTTGAGAACTTAGATTGCAAGTCCTTGCGAATGAAAATATCAAAACGTCCGTTGAGAAAACATGACTTGGACGGATAAAGAGCCGACCTTGCATGTCCAAGGAGGTAATGCCTGAAGATTTATGTTTTGTTGATATTTTCTTTTTAATTTTGTATTCAGCTGAGCTTAGAAGATGGAGTTGGTTCGTAAGTGGCCTGAAAATTATGCCATAAATGCGTATAATGCCTGAACAATGTCATTCACTTAACAATATACCTACACTATGTTTGGTTCAATGATTTTGGCAGGGAAAAGAAAAGGAAATAGGATGGAAATGTTTTTTTATGTTTGGTTAGTGAGAAAAAGAAAGAAAAAGTGAGAGGAAAAGAAAAGTGGAGAGAAAATGAATTAAAAAATGGAAAAATCATTTTTTTTCCCAATTTCGGACGGAAATCAAGCGAATCCCGTCTCGAGTTATTGTTCAGCGACACTTGAAGATCCAATTGAACTCGGTTAAGGCTCAAGTTGAGGCAAATTTGTGGGGGTTTCTGAGCGACATGGGATGCTTATTCAACTTCTTAAGTTGGATTTCCATTCAAATTGAAGAATCCTTTGTGAGCCAAAACTTGGATTCGAGTCACTGTTCACAGCGGGGATTTGCAGCCCAGGTTTAACCATGGTCCTCTCCTCCTTTTGCCTCCATTTTTGGGTATTGTGGTTGTGATTCATGGTCTTCCATTAGCTTGTGTTGGATTCTTGATTCAATAAACTTGTTTTGGCCTCCTTTATTTTGCTTTTCGTGGCACTGTTCATTTTCAGAGTTTCCTGTGCTACTGTATTTAGGACGGTTTGGGCCTTGTTGCTTGTGCTATTCTTTCTCTGTAGCTTAAGGGTAGCTTGAAGATGAATTTGTTTGCTTGCATTTGTGGTTATTGGCTCATTTGATAGTGGCATTGTGCATTGTCCATGTATGTGTCGTCTTCTTCACCCTGCTGCCCAAGTTTCCTACCTTGTGTGTGTGTTCCATCTCAGTTTGTTAAGGGAGATGTGGTAATATGAGCAAATTTCCTTCTAACCAAACAAAAAGAGCATGAGAATACATTTTCCTCATCAATTTCCATCTTAACCAAATATAACTAGAACTTTGAGTTTCCTTTCTTTTCTTTTCTTTTCCTTATCATTTTCCTTTCCTCCTTAATTCCTTGAACCAAACATAGTGCTAAAGGCCAATTGGGGAAATAGCATGCAACTTGAGTATGGTGAACCCCTTTAAAAGGCATTCTACTATTCTCTCTTAACCCAAACAAAACATAGATGTCCTTCCATATACATTTTTGTAATTATAAAGCTAAAATGTCAAAAAAAAAAAAAAGAGCTTGGACACTGAGAAATTAATGACAATGTACATACATCTCAACAAGTTATCAACAATATACACACATCTCAACAAGTTCCCAACACGAATAAGCATTCTCATCGGTCTACAAAGTGCTATACACCTACACTATAGAACAACATACTCTGTATTTTGAACATGTGTGGAAATGATACAAATTACCCTCTCAACCTGTTTTTTTTTTGTGCAAGAAAAGCATGAAGGACGTATACATACAAATCAAAATGCCTAAGTGAAAGACATTGTCAGAAAAGAAACGAAAACAAGGCAACCGCAAGCTCAATGAGCACTGACAAGGAAATGATGCTGACAGACGCTGCACTCTACGGTTTCCGATCCTGTAGCTGGAACTTGAACCTGTATTATATATATCCACAGCAAGTAGCAATTAAGTGCATATTTTGGAAGTTCTGTTCTGTTGCAGATGCATTTCTGTGCAGGTTAAACCACAGCATCGGCCCAAGGAGTAGCGCAACAGCTATTTAATTATAGCCTATTAATTCGATTAAGTATATTTGATTAATGTGTCTTCATTATTTGGAAATACCCATTATTTAATAAGTCTTAGTATTACTCCTTATAACTTCAGTGTTCATTAGGTCTGGTTTTCTGATTAGTATTCAGTTTTCTTTAACTACCTCCATATGTGTGTGTGTGTGTATACATGTGTGTGTGTTGTGTGTGTGTGTGTTCTCTAAGAGGGAATATCTGGAGTATTATGGGCGTCTTAGGCAAGGCCAAGCACAAACCCTACTTTGCCCGGGCAAGTATTTCTATATATTTACAGCTTTCATTTATCATCTTTGTTCCCCACCACGTTTGTTACAATTGGGTATCAGATCGGTTTTCTTTCATACCCTTTTTATCTTCGGTGTCATTTCCATTTTATTGTCTTTCCAGAAAATGTATCACAAAAAGTATTAAAAAATCCATTTGGGGGGGGGGGGTGAACTCAACACGTTTCGGTCTGTCAATTATGTTGTTCCTCTGGTGAAGTGGTCAACTGGAGACTTGGAGACATTTCTCTGCATTGCCACACCAGTAATTATCCCGGAACCAGATATGATGGCTGCCTTGGGTTGAGTACGGCTATAATACTTCTTAGCATTTGGTCCTTGGTTAGATCCCCTTCCGTATGGTACAAGCCTATAAGGAACCCCCCCCCCCCCCCTCTCCCCAAAGATGATTTAATATACACCATTAGCAACAAAGCTAGATAGAGTTGAGCGAGATCTCATTGACCGTGACAGCTTCTTCTCGTCTGCTAAAGACCTTTCAGCCCAGGCCCAGACTCTGATGAAGGCTCACTATGATAATTGATAAGCCCAAAAATTAACAATCAGCCCAGGGGATTGGGTCTGGTTACACACCCACCCATAGAGACAACTTCCATTGGTTCCATCACAAACCTTCACAGTTTCACCCATGTTCTTTGAGCCATTTCAGGTGCTTGCTCGAGTAGGGAAAGTGGCTTATAGACTTCAGCATCCTGTCGACAACTGAAAACATGATGTCTTCTACGTCTCATTGCTTCAACCGTATGGGTACTTATGTCAATCGCGGAACTTGAAAGTTAACCAGTCCATCGGGAAGGTCAATTAGTTGGAGAAGCCACGTGGGAGACATTAGACTCCTTTTGAGAAGCGTTCACAACATTCAAGCTTGTTGTCAACAGTGGGAGTAATGTTACACATGCATTTGTGGGCAGAACATACAGGCGGCGTTGCCCAAACGAGTAGCACAGCAGCAATTTAATCATATAGCCTATTTTATCAACTATTAATAATTAATGTGTTTTCATTATTTGGAAGCATTCATTATTTGACAAGTCGTAGTATTCCTAATAACTTCAGTATTCATTAGATTTTGGTTTCCTATTAGTATTCAATTTTCTGTAATAGCTATATACTCTTGGTTGGAATAAAGGCATTTTATCTGAAGTATAATTGGTGCCTTGGGCAAGTGTTTCGACCATAGTTTGTAAGGCGTCGCCTAGGCGATAAGGCGTTATCACTGGGACGCCTTGTCTGCTCGCCTCGCCTAGAAAACCATAAGGCGACCAGGCGCTCGCCTAGGCGTCGCCTTTCCTTGCCTTAATTCGCCTTGATGCCTTGGGCCCCACTTTAAAATTTTGAAAAACCCCATTTTTTAGTGCAGCCCATTTTCTTTTAGTGTAGCCTAATAGACTTGAACTTATCTTCTCTCTCTCTCGGTCTTCTCTGTCAAGCTTCCTTAAAATGTATAAGACCTATATTACATATATAAATATATATATATACACACACACACACACATATATATATACATGTAGGTATGTATGTCGCCTAGTTGTCGCCTAGGCGATATGAAGGTACATTGGCGCCTCGCCTCGCCTTGCCGCCTTACAAACTATGGTTTCCACATCACAATAAAATATGATTAACTGACCTGCAAATGGACTGTGCAAATAGGGCAGGCAACCTCTTTCATCCTCCTAGATTCCTCGGAACTCCTGCCTGAAAGCAATATTTTCAGATTTCTCCCATTAAATAATCTCACTAGCTCAGCAATTTAAAAATTTAAGGCTTTTAGCATGTTGAAATCATATACTTCTGGAAATATAAAAGTTTATCATATATGCGGTCAACTTGAAAAACAACAAAGCAGCAATTTGCAGGAAGATACATCGATGAAATCAACAAAAAGATGGCTCCTACCTGTTGCCTTGCGATTCTTACTCATCTCCTCCTGTTGATATACAACAAAATGAATCAATCCATGCCGATGAACATGTAAAACCCAAGGATCACAGATGAGCAACATAACAATGGCATAAATGCAACATATAAAGGCAACATATTCATGGTCCCAAGGTTATTAATTTATGAGTTTTTACTGTACACGAGTATGTTTCATTCATCAAGCATGAATATATCTAATTGCCTATAATAGTTATTTAAGTGCAATGAATTAATGTAAACATGTGCATTTAAGTAACTTCAATGAATTCATACATGCATACATGAATGTAATAGTTAATTCACTTAATTGTATACAATAAATTGATATTATACACGAATATAGCAAATGAAAATATTTGAATTCATTTATTTTCAATACTTATGTGCCAAATTTTTGCTGAACTTAATTTAAAGTCTCTTTTTTATTTATTAAAATATTAATTTATCGATGCATGTTTTAATTTTGAATCAATGTTTTCATCATCAACTTATCATTCCAACAATCAATGCATGTTTTTTAAATCATAAATAAAGAAGGGGGGACCCCTGATACATTATTATTGGTCACAGAATGACATTATGTATGATTGTACATATATAATAGAAAACTGTAAGTTTACTTGAAGTTTTCTGGCAAGATCGTCATGGCTCTGCAATCCACTAATCCTTTGAGTGGTTTCATTAACAGTGCTTAGCCTTTGAGTCACCTCTGCCTGCAAGATTTCAACAAACCTCCAAATAGTGAATCATTAACAAAGTTGGCAAAACGAACAACTCTTAATTCAACCCAGCCTGGAGAAACCCGAATGGACAAGGAATGCTATAAAAGTAGTGTGTATAGCATTAAACGATAGAAGGTACTTATGAAAAGCAAAATGCCTAAAATCCCCCAATAGTTGTCTGAAGAAAGATCCAGTGATCATACCATGCACTGATCACAAACTCGAACTGGTTGTGCATTCTCATCTGCAGTTAGAGCAATTCTACCCTGTGTGCACTTGTCGCAAAAGATATCCCCACAATTCCTGCAGTGATGCTGTTCAAAAACGCATACAAGAATCAGGTTCGAATGTCCTAATAGAGAGCATGAAATTGTTCTTTCAATGATAATAACATTAAATAATGCTCACCCTTCTCACAAAAGCATTAAAGTCATTCATACAGTTAGTGCACTTGGTGACTGATTCATCAGGAACCTATCAATAGAAAACACTTTAAAGAGGTAGCCAAGAATAAAATTAAAAAAACTAGCACAAATTGATTTCCATACATATGATTATTAAACAAAACAACCCATGAAATCTATAAATAGGCCAAGTATCCTACCCAATGATCTTTTTCTACATTGGGTGGCTTCATTAGTCTCATCCAGTCAGCAAAGCTTTTCTTCTTTTCTGCAAGTTGCTCAGATCCACCTTTGATAAGATCTGATGGTCTACTGCATTCAGCCATTTCCTTGACCTGTTCATGGAAAAGGGGAAAACATCCATCAAGCTATGCATTAGAAAAAAAAAACTACGTAAAAAAATGACTTGCATAAGGGAGCAGGTAAAATGGATTACACTGAATCAATCATCAAACAGAAGTCAGTATAATCCCAAAACAAACAAAATATTTAGAACACATGAGACCACGTAGATATATAAAGTAGTAAATGTCTTGCACTAATCTCTATTTTCACAGGTTAATATAATTAAGGCATAACCATGTCTGTTGTCCCTGCTAATATAGAGCTTTAGGTTTTAGGCCCCATTAAAATTATTTGTTAGTCCATCTGCAAATGCTGGCAAGTTTTGTTAAAAAACTGACATGGCTCACAGACCTTTGTCTTGCTTTTCCATTTGTTTTACTAATATTTAACTTTCTAGTTCTAGAGAGCCAAAGAGACTAAATTGAAAGTGGAATGGTGAATTCCATCAAGCCTCAACTTTCCAAACATTTCCGAAGAGTTACAGAAACTTAACATGGAAGGTAAGACTAGAGTTCTGCGTCAAGCCAATTTTTCCAACTGAAGATAATGAAGAGGGACTAAAAAGAAAGAAAAATAAATTAAGAGAATGCAAATTTTAATTTTTACATGGTTTTTACACAAAATAAATCATTCATTTGCATGGAAATAATATTGACTCCTACAATAGAAATAAAACAAACACAATAAAACAAACACAAAAATTCCCTCTTGGAAGTAAGGTCCGGGGAAAGTGGGACCACAATCTACCACAAGGAGTAGAGACGTTTCTGTGAACAGCCCTGCTAGGAGAAGTTAATACGAAATGAAACCAACCAAGTATATGTACATCTCACTCACAACTCAAGAGTAGAGTCCAGGGGAATGGTATACACACCCTCTACCCGAAGGAGTAGAGAGATTGCTTTTAAGATAGAATTAATTTGAAAAACACTTGCAAATTTGATGGAAATAAACATCAAACGGTGATAAGTACTGAAAAGAGTGTCAACCAAAAAATTAAGGGAAAAAAGTAAGCAAAACAAGAAAATAAATAACTAACTTTAATTGACATCCCTTCCTAGAGGAGGTAGGCATAAAAATTTATAAGTAGAGAACAAACCACAAAATAACAAGAGTCAGGTATACAATGGTAGCAGTTGTAACTATTATATAGAACTATTACATGACTAGATGGCAACATCCAAATGGTGGCAATAATCAAGTAAATGGATTAAAGCATAATGACTAATGAGGGCAGGATGACACATGCACACACACATAAACATGCATGAATTGTTGGAAGAAAGCATGAGGTGATGGTGAGGAATGAACATCTAGAATTGAGCTGTTTAACATTTACTTGTTCAAAATGGCAAAGACAAAATCAATTAACCTGTATACTTGCTGCTGTCACGGCATCCAGGATGTTGTTTGTGGTATAGCTATTTGATTTGAGCCTTATTCGTGTAGGATCAATGCCAACTGAGCTTTTGGCCCAAAATGCAAATATATATGAGTCCAATACCTAAAACATCAAACGGTAAAAGTCTCTTCTTGGTAACATGAAGGGAAACTAAAATAGTTGGTTAAATAAAAACCTTGACACCAAATTACCTCCCATCTTTCCACGTTCTCAAGTGGATATATCTTTAGAATTTGGTACGTGGCAGGCTCAAGTATCTGAATCCCATCTAATCCAATCTAAAACATTGATAACAAGCCCAGTAACAAATGCTTATATGAATGATGAAATTCAAGATTGTCACAGAATCACAGAGACCATTTACAAAAACCATGGGGAATTTCTAAAAGATTAAAAGCTCAAATCTTTAAAAATGCAAATTATGCTAATATCAGTAATTGAAAACCACAGCTACATACAAACCTGACAAAGCACGTCCTTGTCTGTTTGGCCATAGCCTTCGGATAGAAGCTTGACTCTGAACTTAAGCACCCCACTATTGGCATCCTCATGGTCCACAGCCTTAGGTACCGCCTTAACCATTTTAGGAAAACTCCTAGAGCCATTCTGTCCCCTTCCACCTGGAATATTGATTGGCCGTCCATAATCATCAAATAGCACTTGACTGGGAGGCTCTGATCTACCACCACTACCACCGTAACTGTCTACTTTCCCTCCATTATATTTATAAGCACCACCATCATTAAGCCCACCATAGCAACCAAAACTTACATTGCTCTCAACAGCATTCCCAAACACCGGCCCACCAGAACTCTCATGCGAGCTCCACAGATATGGAGCTGATGAAAAAGGATCAGACTTATAGTTCGGGTTCTGATGATTATAAGTAATACCTGCTGCCAAATGATCTTTTGGCTGCTGAGTGTTCTGATAAGGAGGGAGTTGATTGGAGACATTTTCTGAATTTGGGGTCTGAAGGCTGAAATTAGGAGCTGCTGCAGAATAGTCATAGCTCGAGTGGGATTGATTTTGATTTTGATTTTGATCGAATCCATAATAGGCAGGGGGTTGCTGAGTATTCGGATAAAGAAAGGGTTGATTAGAGACATTATCTGAATTCTGGTGATAAGGAGGATAATCAAAGGAATTATAACTGGAGTAATCAGACGAAACATAACCGGATGAAACAGGCGGAGCCGACGCTTGGGGTACAGCGGCGTACTGAGGATCGGCTGGAGCCGAAGTTGGGGTAGGGTTTTGAAAGTGGGAGAGGTGATACTTTGGATCATAGAAAGCTCCTCCAAGGTCGCCGCCCTGCATATTGTGAGTTCTCCGAACAAATTCGCAGAAATTTGGGCTGATTCTAAAAGCGATCGACTTTGATGGTTCAGGGATGAAGATGGAGCACCGTTCTGGTTCTGACTCTTCTGAGGTGTGGAATGGAATTGTGGATGATGGAAGAAAGGAACAATTCCAGAGGGAGACTTGTAAAAGTTGAGGTGATCAAAGAAACAGAAACGGGTATGGATTCAAAAAGTGAAGGAATCCATCCAAAAATTGGCAGAAAAATTAATGTTGGTAATGACTCCCACTTTCAAGTAATTTGAAATATAATTCAATGACTAATTTACCTAAATAGGACTAAAACATAATGACTTTCCCAATATAGGACCATCACTACTGGACATTATTCCTCTCACAAGGTCATTATTAAGTCATATTTAGGGAATAAAAAAGTTTAAGTTCTACATTAGAAAAGTCATTATGTTTTAGTCTTATTTAGTGCAAATTTCACTAATTCAAAATATTCCATATTTTTTGGTAAAAATTCCCACGCTCGACATTGTTTAAAATATACTTCAAGATCCTTAATTAAAATTTGTGGTGTTATACTTTGAAGGTATATTTCGTCCATTTAAGCGTTAGGATTGAAAGTTCTTATACTTTGAAAAACTAAAAGATTTTATTTAAATTTAATAAAATAATGATTATGAAGTTAAAATTTAGTATTTGTCAAAGTATAAAAACTTTTAATCCTAATGGTCAAATATATACCAAGGAGGAGAAGGTATATGGTACAACCGGATGTACGTATTCATTCTGAAGTAGTGTAGTATTCATTCTCGCACAAATATAATTAGCGTGGTAGTCATTCTAAAATAATGCAATACTCATTTTCACATGTTGGTTCAATATAATTATAATATTCATCTACAAATAATGTAGTGTTCATTCTGAAATAAAATAGAATCAATTCTCAAATAACTTAGTGTGCATTCTCATGTAAAATAAAATCCATACCATAAATAATTTTTTGGTTGCACCTAAAATTGGGTACAACCAGATATATAATATAATTTGCCACTCAAGGAGTACATTACCATTAATTTTAAGGACCCCGTAGTATATTTCAATTAATAAAGGACTTGAAAGTTATGGCCGGAAAATCGAGGGTAACCCGGCGTATATTTCATATAGTGTAGGACCTTAGAGTCATTACCAGAAAATCGAGAGTGGCCATAGGAATTATTTGTAAAAATTATTGGTCTCGGTCTGTCAGGTTTAGAGTTATATGACTGAACTCAGCACAAACCTCTCTTATTTAAATGGTTCGGTATTGTTACGGAATAAATCCCAAAAATATTCGGTATCATTTCATATTGAAATGTATGGTACAATATCATATTCATGCTCAAATCGTGCCAACAAAAATAAACATGTGTTACTCAAAGAATACTAAAATAAAAGAATAATTTTGCATAAAAAAACATAACTTTGTTAAAAAAAAGGTACTTATTTTGCATTTAAAAAGATCATAAACATAAAGAATAAAAGAAAATGAGTCCAAATTTTAAAAAAATTGAATTGTTTTTCAATTCATACAATATTGGGCTATTAGTAACTCCAAAAAAAATAATTCTCATAGTAGTAATAAATATAACAACAAACATAATAATAAAATACGAAGTACTCCATACTACCTCCGTCTCACTGTCTTTGTCCACTTTTGACTTTTGGAACTGTTCATCTAAACATTTTGGCTCATCAAATTCTCTCAATGTGTAAGCCTAAAAATAGTCATGTGTGATCTTGTTTGATTCGTCTTAACATATAGATTATTAATATATAATTTTTATAATTTTTTAATATACAAATTACAAGATAAAATGGATTAAAGAAGTGCATTGGATGGTGTGCCAAAAGGTAAGTGGACAAAGACAGTGGGACGGAGGGAGTATATGTTAAGATAAAGTAGCCAAAAAACTATTTGAGATACTCTGTAGATAGTTTTGACGTTTCCTTCTCTGACAAGTTTTAAATATTTCGATCACGGTATCGTCCCTTTGATATCGATTCGGTTTCAGTTCGAGATCGAAAAAACTAATCCTGTTTAAAAACACTATAAACAGTTCGGTTTCAGAAAATCGTAATTTTACTTTCCAATTTTATTCTTAAAGTCGGAAAAAAAGACAACTCATTTAAATAACTTATTATGTCAATACAAAATGAATGACGTATATTCTAACGACTTTATTTGAATACATTAGTCTTTTTTTGTTAAAGTGGAAGTATTTTTATTGAAAACAAAAAAATGAAAAAGAAACCGTTTTGATAATTAAATAGAGGGAGTAGCTTTTACTCCATGATTCATCTCAAAGATAACATACAAATCACCACATTTGCTAACATACAAAAAGACTAGTGGAAATTTAGTCTCTGATTCAACGTTTTCAAATTTCAAGTAGTGGCTCTATTCGGAAAGGATCTTCTAATTATACGTGTTACGTGTTACGAAACTTGACCGACTTTATTTTCAATTCAATTTATTTCATTGTACAGTATGTGTAAAATTAAAAAATAAAATGTAAATTGCAAAAAATTAGGTAAAGAGTTCTACAAAGTAAAATTTGTCGTATCTAGGACTTAAAGTTGTTAGTTTTCCATAATATGACTAGTTAAGTTGTTTTCTATTAATGGGACTTTTTTCTATACGGTATTCCATCTTTACCCTTGTAGATTTATTCCTCTTATTTTTCATCTACCCGTTCCTCCAATTACACCATGTGATCCATATGATTTCATTTACATAATTAAAAAATAATTACCCATTTATCATCCCATAAATCAAACAATAATTGCATTATCTCTGCATCTTTGTAGTCTCACATTCTCTACACTTCTCTCCTTCTCTGCGATAGCTTTCCTTGTCTTCGTCGTCTTCATTAATTTTGCTCTCTTCTCTACATTTTCCATCATCATGCTAACTTTCCCTCCTACAATATGTTTGACATTATCTAGACCTAATATCGTCATACAAAAAAAATATGAGAAATGCTAGAGTTACAAACAAACAGTTTACAAAATTCACAAACATACCTTTTTAACACTTTCCTAGAAATAAGATGCACTCAAATAATAAAAGATTTTTTAATTTAAAATCCACAAAAGGCAAGTTTGTAAAGTTTGTGAACTATATGTTTGTGACTCTAGCATTTTCCAAAAAATATTGTCCAAGGACATTGATTATTTGATACATATTTTTATTAATTATTTGGTAAAATAAAATAATCGTATTATCTCTTAATTTCTAGATCTTTTGAAATAGTTTTTGAATATGTAAATTTACTTTTTATTTTTACAAAAATATTCATTTAAATTGAATTGAAAATAATTTCGATCAATATTTTACAACTCCACCTTACTTGTACCAACATCAATTCCCACTACCCTACCCCCCTTCCCGTTGATACAACCCAGCCTCAATGCCTACCGCCTTTGTCGATCCCACATTACCCAACTTTGAATGTTTTAATGTCTAGTGATGAAAAAATAATAGATAAAATAATGTCCTTGAAAAATATAATGTCTATAATATTTAATGTCTATTAGTGAAGAAAAAAGAAGGAAACATTTCCTAAATAACACTAAAACTCTCTTTCCTCAATGCCCAATGTCATATATTAATGTCCAAATGTTGTTTATTACTTCTAATAATGCGCTCCAAACTCTCTTCCCTTAATGTTCTTCAAAGTATATTTTTTTAATGTCCATATATTCATTTTGGAGAGATTGTAGTAATTGAATGTCCACTGATCTACTTTCAATTTATGTCGAATTTGAATGGACATTATTTACTTCTTTTAATACACTTAAACTCTATTTTCTTAATGTAGAATTTTGAATTTTCATATATTAATATCTAATGTTTTGTATTATTTCTAATAATGTCCTAACTTTCTTCCCTTACACTATGTTTGGCTCAAGGATTTTAGAAGGAAAAGAAAAGAAAATGGTTTTCTCTCATTTTCCTCACCAAAATGAAAGGAATTTTGTTTTCCCTCCACTTGGTATATTTTGCCTCCTCATTTTCTTTTCCTTCCACTTTTCCTTTCTTTTCCCTTCTAACTAAATAAGAAAAATGGTTTTCCACTTCATTTTCTTTTCTTTTCCCTTTCAAATTTCTTGAACCAAACATAGTGTTAATGTTCCCGGGACTATATTGCTTTAATGCCCATATATATTTGTGGGACGTCGTAACAATTAATGTCCACTGATATACTCTTAACTAATGTCCAATTTGATTGGACATTGTGTATACTATATTTAATACTCTCCATTCCAATTTTGATTAAAAATTTTCTCTCACCTCTCAAAAACTATGATATATTTGTATATTTTAACTGATTATTTGATAAAATAAAATCCTTTTATCACATTCTTGTTTTAATGGAACTTTTGACGTAGTCTTTTAATATATAATTTTTATTTTTTATTGATGTACAAATTTGTAAATAAAATAATAATATAAAAAATTGTAAGGTTTTACTTCTTAATGATCAATTATTAACCAAAATTAGAAATGCACTCCGTAATATTTAATTTCAAAACCTCTAACCCTATTTTTCACAAAAAAGAAGAATAAAAAGCGAGAAAATGAAATCTCAACTTAGAAAACAAGTCCGACTCTATGTCAGAATGTCACCAATTTCAATTACAACTAGGATTCCTTCCAGGATTCCTTCCTTTTCTGTTTGTGATTCCCATAAACTTAGGATGTGGTGCGGGATGACTAGTAGAGTGTAAAATGGATGTGAGGGTCAATTTCGTCCTTCTCCTCACCAAATAAACGTTAGTGCAAGTAGGACTACTCCTATTTAGGGAAAACTACTTTGTTTTACTCCTATTTGAGTAATTTACTCTTCTACAAAACATGAGGTGATGTGACTATGTAATTTAATGAAATGATGATTTAAAGGGTGGTCAAGTTATTTTTTAAATAAACCGATCATTTATTTTTATAGTTTCAATTAGTTTTTTAAATTTTTTTAAATCATTTTTAATTTCATATTCTTAGTTTCAATAACTTTTTTAGTTTTTTTAGTTTTAACTATTTTAGCAACGGAGTTAACGCAACTGATTATGCCGTTGCAAAGTTGAATAACCTGTTGCGAACAGCTTGCAACGGAAAAATCAATGCAAAAATTTGTTGCAGAAAGCTCCCAGAAAAAAGCGCCAACCTCCCTCTATAATTGCAACATATATTTTTACTTTCTGTTGCAAATATGACCGTTGCAAAATAATTCTTTTTCAAACAAAATTGCCGTTGCAATTCTGCAACGAAAAGATGTCAGTTGCAATTTTTCGGTTGCAAATATGAGATTTTCTTGTAGTGTATTAAAATGAAGTAGAAAACAATTTTTCTTGTTTGGCTAGAGAGGAAAAGAAAGGAAAACTGGAAGGAAAGAAAATGAGAAGGCAAAATGTACTAAGTGAAGGGAAAACCAAATGCTTCCGATTTTGGTGAGAAAAAAGAGAGAAAATCATTTTCTTTTCTTTTTCTTTCAAATTCATTGAACCAAATATAGTGTAAATGTTTTTTTTGAAGAATGAAAAATATTATCGGCAATTTATTTTTAAATTCTAATCAAATTCTGCTGCACTAAGGTCACCGTTCGTGAAGAGATTTGTAGACATAAAGTCTACAGTGACAATTGAAGAGAGAATGGTGGAAGCCTTCACATTTTCTTCAGATAATGATGAGTAAGCTATTTTGGTTATGTGCATACTAGTACTTTTTTGGTATAGCACTCATTCAAGTATGTCTATATATGTTCATTCTTCGATTCAATAGAACTCATTCTAATATGCCTTGGTGTTGAATCTGAACTCATTCTTGATGATATGGGCATACTTGTGATTTGTTATTTGTATCAGCTTTTTATTGTACAATGAAGGTGGCAGAGCAATCAAAAAATATCAGTTCCAAACCTTGAAACTGAACCCAGCGGCTCTTTTGAAATCGTAGATTTGTATACTCATATTCTTAACTACAAAGAGAAATTAAAAAGCATTGACTTAGCAGCCAGGGTGTACTTCCCAACAAAAAATTTTCATATGTTAAAATAAAATCATAGTAAGTAAAGTAGTTTTCTAAATAAATATAATGACTTTTTAAGCTTAATATTGCAGGATGTGTTGGATAACAATGTTGCAAGTACAACAGAAACAAGGAACAAAAACTTTGTGGAGAGTATGGAGATACAGTGTGCAATGTCAATAAACTGAGTGACGAGTATAGATCTATTTTTCTTCCCAGCAAAGCTGTCTGACCATGTTTACTTAATGTATTTTGATTTGAGAAATATGAAGTTTCTCATAATTGACGATAAAGAGAGTAATGTTACAATAGGTGTAATATATGTATTCCATCCAAATCACTTGGTAAGATTTGTTTAAAAAATGCTCCATTAAACATTTTTATTTAAATATTATTTTAATAACATAACTTCCTAATTACTTATATGTTCATTGTAGAGAAATGCCTTTGTAAAATGGCTAAAGGAAAAAAGGATCTAAGAGCACCAGAAGTACAGAAGCTGAAAGCAGAGCGCTTAGATGTGGGACTCAACATAATGCAAAGTCGTGCAGACTCATGAGCGTTTGTTATGAGATTCATGCAAACATATAAAGGGGAAGAAGAATGGGATTGTGGACTTGAAAACGTAAATCTAAGTTCTAGAAGATTTTTTAGTAACACAAATATTACTCTACACATGAAAACTTTTGAATGAATGGGTATTAAATTGGAAAATATTATAGGAAACGTTGATGCAAAAGTTGAAGACAAGATACTTGAATGAGATGCTCACATTTGAAAAGAATGAGATGAAGGAGGAAGTGGTGAAGAAAATCAAATCTGGACTAATGGCTCAAAGAGAAATTAGGAAAGCAACAAAGGGGAAATAGGCGAACTTCCAAACTGATTGATGTAATGGACAAAAGTGATGTTGATGGATATGATGAACAAAAAATGTGGTTATATCACTGTTATGGATGACTAAATTCATGAAAAAAATACTAATTTCCATTAACAAATTTTATGTACTTTTGGGTTTGAGAAATGGATACTAATTTTAGCAGTGGTACTTTTTGTTTGAAGTTGCATTGAGAAGTTCATATATAAGTTCATTGTTATGTGCACTAGTACTCATTCTAATATGTCAAGGTACATAATGTTAGTAGTAGTTTTGTTGTCGTGACATGAATACATAGACACAAACACCCACATATAGGTATCTACACTAGAGCTTAAGGTTGACTCTCCAAGTGACACTCCCCACACACAAACACAAATATAACTTCATACAAACTTCTTCTGGTTATATTGCATCCATAAAAGAGAGTTTCTTCAATTATGAAGTATGGAGCATAGATGATATATAATGCATTTGGTTTATTTTAGTAAACTTATTACTTATCAAGTCATTTAGATGCCTTGAAATAAGTTTTATTCAATTTTAGTGCATTTATGACTAGGAAAGTAGAAAAGATGTAGAAGTTTTCACACTGGGGAGTGTTCATTCTTATATGTGTTGGTACTCATTGTGATATGTCATGGTACCCATTACTCACTTACTGCATGCTCAGTTTGATCTGAAAAAGAACATAATTATCTATCGGTAAACACATTGCCAGTAGAGCTAAACTCATCATGAATTTGTGAATCCATCCAAACTGAACACAAAACATCAGATTGAAGAGCACGCAATGTAAACATATATTGCTACTTGCGCATTTTCACACTATACAAAATACAAAAAATTGTCAAGACACAAAGTAAAAAGAATGTCAATTAAGACACAAAATACAATACTAAAATGACATACATATTCTAGTAATAGTCAAACTCAGCAATCGTACGACAAAGTTTTAAAACATGATCAAATAGATTAAAACAATCATCCAGGTTCCTGAAATCCCTTATATGCTTCTTGGAATTCTCGAAAACGTGCCATACACATAGGCGATGTTTGGAATTAGGAATTACTATAGAAATTGCAGATGACATTGCAAAAGGCTAATCAGTCATAATAGTCTTAAAATGCAAACCACCCATTGCTTCTAGAAATGTGTGAAACAACAATTCAGAAGATTCAATTCTTTCGTTCAATAAAAATTCACAACCAAACATACAATTATGATGTGGTTGTTAACCCCAACAAATGACCCACAATCAAGTCACCAAATAAACAATAATCTTCCATCATTTGCTTGTCCCTCCAAAAAAATAACCAATGAACCTTCAAAATCAACCTCAAAAGCAAAGAAAAAAATATTCATCATTTCTTTTTTGTTGCCTAAAATACTTAACAGGAGTATTGGCATTTGTACCATCAAAGCACCATTTAGCCTATTTTGCCAAATTATTATAAACATCTCTCAATGCAAAACCAGCCGCAGGTGACCCCCTAGCTTCTGCCCATAAACAACGAAATGCACCAACAAGTTTAACGCCTTGCTGTTTTAAAAGATTAAGATACGACACCTGGCCTAGGGATATATCTCTATAAGATCTGACACAGTGAACCAATGAAGAAGGGAAAAAGGAATGATTGTGTTCCATTAAATATCTGACTACAACCCAATCACCATTACCCTTTAATTCAAAGTAAACTTTAGACTGACAACTAGTGCGTCGATCAACTTTGGTGTATTTCTTACGAACAACACCTTTAATCTTTTTTTAGCTTCTTTATTACAACAAAACTCTCTCCCCGTGATACTCAAATCATTTTGACTTTTCCTTAGAGTTGAATAACAAATGCCAAATCCAATCCTAATTCCTAAATGCATAATCATTATAAACATCAAAAGCCTCTTTCTCCGAATTTACTTTTTTTCAATTAATTCTAATGTTTCTGCTTTTTGAACACGAATAGTAGAATCTATCAAGTCATCATTAGATTATACCAGGATGTAGGTTGAAAATGAGTTATGTTATTTGAAGATGCAAAAATTAATAGAGTCTCAAATAAGAACAGAGGAAAATAGTTTTAAGTAAAACCATTGAGAATGCATTTACAAAGTTGAAAATGGTAAACAAAATTTACAAATAATTACTAGAACGGGTTGTGAAGTTTGTATTTTGTCCAGAACTCTCAATTGCTTCTATAAATTAAGTTTACGATGCCTGTCAAATATTCATTTGTGCAAAATACAATAATTATTTTCACAAAGCAAACATGATATTCATTATAGTTATATAAATTATTTGTGTAGAAAATACTCACGATACACCACCACAAACTCCATCTTGAAGCAGACCATTCTCGCCGTGGTGCCCTTCGTGATTGTCCAGCATACTGACGTGGTAGAAAATACGCACTATATAACCAGAACCAACTCAATCAAGCACATAGCCTAGGGCTTTGATTGTCCATCAGCCCCTCTTCACTCGTGGTCGAGCTCAATGCACATTTGTGCCTAGGGTTGTAAATGTTGTTTTACAAATTTGTCATATTGTACATATAGTTAGGGGTGTTCATTCGGATATATCTGATTCGATCCGATCTGGTTTTTCGGATATCCGAAATTTGCGGATCGATATCCCATGTCTGATCCAAAAATTACTGGATACCCAAATTTCAAATATCTAAAATTTCATATCGGATCAATAGAATATCTAGAAAAAAATTATATTTATTTTTTTTAAAATTTATTTTTTCCAATAATTCTAAAAAAATATTCAGGATGATTTTTTATTTGTTAATATAGTAGAGATCATAACTTAGAATTGAACTTGAAGTCAATTGTATTTTATAAGTCATAATTATAAATAACTAATTATTTGTAAAAAAAACTAAGTATATATTTGTGTTATAATAGGTTATTATTGTTTAAATGTATGAAAAAAATATCAACAAAATTGATAAATAAAACATAGACAAAAAACTAGAGTAAAAAACTTGAATTAAGCCTAGATTTAAATATTTATGATGATTGGGCTTAAGTTATCTAAGCTTTATTTTATATTTATTTTTTAAAATATGAACTTCAGATATCCACGAATATGTGAAATCTTAATATGTCATTCCACATCCGATTTGATTTTTTTTGGATATTCAATCCGAAATATCCGAATGCTAAAATATCGAATCAGATATCAGTTTTTGGATCGGATCAGCCCGGATCGTGAACAGATATTTTGGATTGGATATTTTTGAACACCCCAATGTACAATGGGTACATTAGGGGGTACCTTATAAGTGGCAGACCATTCATGGATTGATTTTTTTATCGCAAAGAGATTTTTTTTCACAATTTGATTTTGGTTAGCAATTTGGAAAACTAATGAACTGGTCAATTAAACGAGGTTAACCAAAAATTTTAATCAATAAAATTTTCAATATACGAGTAATATATACCTTTGAAATAATTGAAGTGTTTTGTATACATAGACCGATAGAACAACAATAACAACAACAACCAAGTTGAATCCCACTACAGTAGGGTCTGGGGAGGGTGTGTGTGCGCAGACCTTGCCCCTACTCGGAAGTAGGAAGGCTGTTTCCAAGAGACCCCCGGCTCCAACTGCACAAAAAATATGATAAGAATCACAGCATAACACAGATAAAGCACCAAGTACAATGGAATGAAAGTCCTGCAAGCAATAGCAAAAATTTCCAACCAAAGAAAACACACTACAAAAAATCCTTGAAGCACCTATCCAGCTACTCTAATCCTAGTTCTCCAAAGGTTCTTATCTAAAGCCACATCCTTAGTCAGGTAAGAAGTCCTAAATCCTGCCTAATCACCTTCTTCCAATTTTTCCTAGGTCTACCCCTTCCCCTACTTCCCCGACAACCATAATCCTCTCACATCTCCATACACGCAGCATTCCGCCACCTCACCATAGACCGATATAAATCATTATTTTATATACTACTCTGTAGTTGTTTATACCCCGTGCTTTGTATTGGCTTATATTATTTTGTAATAGTATATTTTTTTTGAATGCTATTGACTATATTGTAATAGTATATTTTGTACACTTATGAATTTCATATTCAATAAAAAAAGGTGAAATTGAAAATGAATTAATATGTGAAATATAAGTGAAAACGATTACATTACATAGTTAAAACTATTTGAAACACAAAAAATCAAGCATGCAAATGCATACACATAAAGTTTTTACAAATTTAAAAATTAATTATTTTATTTTCATAGATGTGGCACTTCAATATCTAAACTCTAATATTTATTACTTTGATTTCATTACAAGCCTTTATTTATTTATATTTTATATCAATGAGCTTCACACAATGTCGATTGTATTACATAACTACACATCCCAACATCTCAAATATAACTAATTTTATAAAGCATGACATCTTTCTTCCCCTTATGATAGAATTGAATTGTTGCTTAAGGACAAGCAATATTTGAATGTGAGGAGATTGATGAATATTTTGTTTCAAACATAGCGTTTCGAAAAAAGTCTTTGAGAAGTCAAATCCTCCTGTATAAGAGACAAATATGGAGAAAATATAACAACCTTCATTCCTAACTTCTTCCAGGGGGGTTTCAAAGAAGAGGAAGACACCATGTAAGGTAAGTTTGGGTAGGCTAAATATTTGAGACGGATGGTAAGGGCATTTGTGTCTTTTAACAAAAGTAAAAAAGTTCTTTGAGACAGATGAAGAATGTAAATGGAGAGGTTTCGTGGTATAAAGGGAAATTTTAATTTTTTTCATTTTACAATAAATTTCAAATAATTTAAATTGCCAATAATTTTGGCCAAAAATCATAAAACCAACTGGAACAGAGAGACATTAACTAGTGTTTTGTTTCCTTGTTCTCTTGTTTTCATTCTTACCCTGTTTTCTGTTACTACTGCTTTTCTGGTTCTTTGTTTTTCTTGGAATTTATTGTTCAGTATAAAAAAAGTGCACAATTCCAAGCATAACGAGATTAGAGGGGTTTTAATTAATTAAACTGTTGTTCAACACTTCAGTCAAGGGCAAAACAACCACTAAAAGAGGATCAATATCGCTTATCAGAAGACAAAAGGTGTCTTGAAATAAACACAATGCTTTCACAGAAGCCACGAAACACTTTCAAAACAAACCATAGTTACTGAAAAACGAGCCTAATATACCCCTCTCCCATGTTTCATGTTTCACACTGACAATTGTTTTATGTCTTGCAAGAATGTGAAAGGGGTGAAAGGAAAGAGTTGCATAAGCAGGATGGTGACTGTATGATAACACATATGGATAATATAATATGCTGCTGTCCAGTCTAGATACCTCGAAAATTTTCTGTTTATCGAGTCTGGATGTACCCGAGTTGGAAGATTCCCCAATTATATCAGGAGATGATGCTGCTGCACGGGACTCCCTCTTCAAAGTCGTTGGCAAGCTTGAAATTTCCTGAAGCATGTTCAAAGGTTTTCACAGAGTTGTCTCTTTTTCCAGCACACAAAAACACAGGAAAGGTCTTGATGATGATGATACTATGGTGTTGTTACCTTCATCAAGTGCATCCTAAAGTCACAAGGCCGTACTTGATTCCCGATGCAGCCCATTACAAACCTTGAATATTGAGACAGTGCATCTGTCGCAGCTTGTTTCTTTTCTTCACTCTGCAATAAAAGACAAAAGACATGAAACGACAAATACTACCTCCATCCTGAATTAATTGTTCCGGTTTTATTTCACGGAGTTTAAGGAAAGTACTGAAAAATTAAAAGTGAGTGGTTGAAATTTGTGGTGGTCCCAAAGTGGTGAGATACAAAGTCTAGAGGGGGGGTGAATAGACTTTGTTACAAATTTAAAACTTTTTCGTTTCTTTTGAAAACGTGAAAATGAGTGTTAATCTAGAGTTCTTGTGAACTTTAGATTGTGTGCGGAATTTGGTGGGTAGAGTGAGCAGTAATCAATATGGATGGGTTAGGTTTCACAGTTAATATAATTGCAAGTAAGAATAAAGATAAAAGAGAGAGACACGCAAACTTTAACGAGGTTCGAAGGTGGGGTAATCCTTCTACGTCCTCAAAATCCACTATGTAGTTGGTTGTTGAAAAATGAACCAACAATTACACTTGTGTGAATTTCTGCACGGTATATCTTCGCAAGGCCAATGTTGCTACTGCACTCGTGCTGGCTTTGTTGTTCCTTCGAAGGTCACGCTTCTTCAACAACTGCAAGGTCCGAACAATAGGACTTGCAAGACCAACTTGTAAGAAAGTTGACCTACCCCCTTTTAATCAATAAGTTTGATCAAAAGTTGTATCCTTCAATGTGGTGTGGTACTTGAGGCAAGGAAACCTTCAAGTATTTACACTATAGCTCTTTGGAAGGAGGAGAAGTTTGCTTCTGGATAAGGAGTTTAGAAATCTCTCTTTATCAAGCTTTTTGGGCTAACTGTGAATGAGGTAGCTTTGTTGTGGTTGTTTTTCTTATCCTTGTCGTCCTTCTTTTTCCAGTCTTCCAAGGATGCTATTTATAGCTGGATTGGATAATCTATCCGTTGAATCAAAATAGACTATCCGTTGCATTTGCTGGCTTCAATTTTGAATGAAGATTGTGATTTGAAGATTCCTCATTGGAATGGGTGTTTGGACATACCCAATTGTTTAAGGAGGGATTCCTTTTTCCACATAATTCGTCTCCTAGCTGTTGTTCAAGAATTCTGGACTGTAGCACTTTACTTTGTTTGTCTTCTAGTGCTTGTTTAGGAATTCTGGACAGGCTGTTCAATTTTTTAGAGATCCAGACTTTGTCTTCGAGTCATTTGTTCTTGAATCAACATAATTATCTTCAGTCTAGCCGTTGAAAATCAAGAGATTGATTTTTCCTTACCAACGGGTAGAATTTCTTCATTCAAGACTTAGATAATTTTCTAAGTCTTTTCTCACTTGTCCGCTTTTTGAGAATTCCGGTCTTTCTTGAGGCATCCGGTTCTTGGCTGACAAATCCGGAAGAGTCATACTCAGTCTTCCGGGTGAGAAAGAAATCCGCGCTAGTCTTCCGACTTAGTCGTCAGCGGGTTGTAGCGAGACATCCGGTTCTCATGTAGTCTTCCGGATTGGAGGATTTTCGTCTGCTTTGAGAAATCCTTACTTGTCTCTGACATTTCCGATCAAGATATCTAATTTCCAAATTACTGAATTTGATTAAGTCTTCAGGCATCAAACCGCTTAAAGAAATATCACAACTTTATTGGAAATCTCAAGAACTTGGTTTTAACAATATTTCTAAAAGGAAAAATTACATTGAATATTTGGGGAGACCTAAAGTCCCTATTACATTCTAAATACATCATCATCAAAATCTATAATATTTTTCCCAACAATTTGATTAAAGGAAAGAAAAAGATTGTGGACGGAAAGTACGGAAGTGAGACATTTATTTTTGGACAGACTAAAAAAGAAAGTGAGACCATTAATTTGGGACGGAGGGTGTAAAATATTTTCCAAGGGTGTCATGTGTTAAAAAATTGGTGTAGAATAAAAAAGAAAATTTATATATTTTAAAACTACATAAGAAAATCTACAGAGTATGAGATAAGAAGTGGCTTAACTATTCTGTTTTGTCAAATGACCGTCTGAATAGTGTTTCACAACACTAATATGGAACAGAGGAGTAAAATAGAAATGATCTCTTTCAAACAGTCCCACAAATGCAAACAAATGAACTTCAGAGGTTTGAATTGCATCAAGGTGCTGCCTTAATCAATATACTAATGGGTAAACAATGGCTGAAAGCAAATCTGTGTAGAAACTGATTAGACACCTGCTTCTTCAAAACAATGGGAAATACCAAGGAACAAATAAAATATTTTCCAAGTTAAAAGGGTATCAAACCTTGGTCTATAGTATAGTAATAAAATGGAAATGATCTCTGAACAAATACACCTCTCTTTGACAAACGAAATACAAAGACAAACACATGCTGCTTTAATTGATGTATACTCCATTGGTAATTGGCAAGCAAGAATGGCTGAAAACAAGTTTATGCACTTTAGACGGGTACTTCTTAACAACGAGAACAACAATAATAATAACAACAACAACAACAAAACCTATAGTCCTGTAAAGTGCTATGTTAAAAAAATTAATTGAAATTTTATTTTCGAATTTTCTTTAGAAGAAAAATCGTTAAGGATAACATCGATTTTTCTAAAGGTTACACGCGAAGGATCGATTTTTCTTCTCCACCGCAACTCTATATATTTCCGTAAATCTTTGGTCGAAGGGGTGTTCGAAAATTCACAGCAATCCCATACTCGTTCTTGTTACTTTCGAGTTTTATCCGATTGAATTTTGGATTGAACAACCAAAATATTCAATCTGAAAATGCTATACACGACTCTCGATTGATCCGCGTTATCGTTATTATCCCCAACACATACTTATTCCAATAATGATTAAATCAAGTTTGATCATTACTCTCATACGCGTAACCCTAAAGCAGAAAAGCACGTGGAATCAGTAAAAAATCCCATTATAATCTTGCAATAGTCTACGCATAACTGAATGAATGATTACTACAAAGAAGAAACTCGATCAATTTGTAAATTTCAGATGAAGAAAACGCAAAAACAAATTGACAAACGCTTTGAAGCGCAAAATGGAAACAGCAGCTAAAATTTCCGATTAAGAAAATATAGCACCAAACTGAATGAATGAAAATCGTCCAAGAGAGATACGATAAGATTAAAGTTTACCTCGTTGTCGTCCTTCATAGAATCTCACATTTCTAGCTATGCTGTGAGAGCTTATATTTCCAAATGCCCCTTGTCTTGCAATCAATTGAACAAGTAGAAATTTCTCCAAAAAATCTAGTATTTGGAACCAAAAATTATCTAATCAAAAAAATTACCTAACTGTACTAAAGTGAACGGTCGGTACAATAGTTGTAAAAAGGTACGAGATGACGTCTCTTACCAAAAATTTCTAACCGAACATATATACTACTTCCTCCGTCCTAATTCTTTCTTCCCAGTTTGACTTTTCCCCATTTTTAATTTTTGGCTTTGACTTCAAATTTTACCCTCCTTAAAAAAGATTTTTTGAATTTTTTTTTGCAATCATTCAAAATATAGAGTTAGAAGATAATTGGTGTAAATACATGAGGGTATTAATGTCATTTGTCATCTTTTTTTTTCTAATGGGAAGGTAGTTTTAGGACGGAGAAAAAGGGAAGTGGGAAGAAAGTCTTAGGACGGAGGGAGTAATATATTATCAAAACAATAATTATATTTTTATTTGAGTTTCAGTTTTTGTATATGAACATAAAAATATTCACAAAGATTCAAAATATTCCTTTGTTATAGTTCATTTTCTTAGTTTGTGAAATATAAACTAAGTTTTGATAAGCATCTCTTGCATTTAAATATTAATTTTTTTATGTTTTTTATTTATACTTACTTTCAATTTTCAAAAATAAAGGGGCTTTGTTACATTTTAAGGTCTAAAGTAAAGATGTATTCTCATTCTGATTTGTACCGAAACCGATACCTAACCATCTCGAACCACACCAAACCGGTATTTCGAGATCGAAATCGATACGGTGTAAATCTTATGCCAAAACAAAATATTTCGTACGGTATCGGTACGAGCTAAGTATCGTACCATGCGCACCCCTAATTTAGGGGTTGCTGAGGGTGGGCATGAAATGTGTTCCCTTGGAACCGTTGCGAAAAATCCCGGATCCGTTTTGTAATTGTACCGATATATTGGGACACATTTTTTTTATCCCAAACCCGTTCCGTCCCAATATCAAATGGGACATGAGAGGGAAAACTTAAATTTATATCGATCCGTCCTGTTTGTCCCGTTTCATCTACTCTACTAATATATATACTATTTCTAGACCAAAATCCAAATACACTCATTCTTTAATTAATTAGTTTTTTAATTAAGTTAACTTCATAGGCTTGAAATTTATTTGGACCCGTTCCATTCATTGTTTTTTGTTGGATGGTTAGATATTTCTTTTTTTTGAATGAAATGTCACCCTCTCCCCCTTCTTATTATATTTGCGATTAGGACAAAGTAGGACGACCCGAATCTGTCCCGGTTTATTCCGATCCTGAATTTTATGGGACAAACCAGGATAAGATTGTAATCTGAACCGCTCCGGACCGTTTATATATAACGGGACAAGACGTGGAACAACCTAAAACCCAAACCGTCCCGATCCGTGCACCCCTAGGGGTTGCACGTGTCGAGTGTACTAGGGTTATTATTTAAGTATAAAAGTTACTGTTCAGGGATTGCACGAGTATAAATTTTATAATTAGTCCTTTATAATAGAGGTTTTTCCTATTTAGTCCTCTATTGTCAAATATTATCTCGGTGGTGCTTTTTTATGAGTATCTTTCCACAAATAGTCCTTTTCTTGATCTTCTGACATGTTGGTGCTAACTTAAGGGATAAACGTATAATTTCACAATGGTCATATATCATTCTTGTCAACACAATTCAAGAGGTTGCTCCTAATAAAGCATCGTTTGTGAATTGGAGCCATTCTCAACTATAATCATAGTCTATAGATGTGATTTTTCATCGGAATCTTAGTTCACAGACATAGTCATTATTATTGTTTTATCCGTCAAACCGACATTAGAATTGTTGGAATGCATGAGTTCAACCCTTTCTGTGTTGTTAAGTGTTGACTCACAGGTTTTGATAATTGACAAACACAATTTATTCAAGTCAAGATCAAAGTGCTACAACGACAAACACGAAGACTTGAAGTGCCATTCCTTGAAGTATTCAAGAAGGTGCACAGGATTTTATTGGAGTCCGAGACGCGTTCGGAGCGCCTAACGGAGGACTCGGAGGAGTAGAAGATTT